GGACGTGTTCCTGGGAATGTCGAGAGGTGTACCAGGGAATGTCAGTGGGTACCTGGGGTGTCAGAGGTGTACCTGGGAGTGTCAGGGTGTACCTGGGAGTGTCGGAGGTGTACCTGGGAGTGTGAGAAGTGTACCTGGGAGTGTCAGTTGTACCTGGGGTGTCGGAGGTGTACCTGGCTGTCTCAGAGGTGTACCTTAGAGTGTCAGAGGTGTACCAGGGAGTGTCAGCGGTGTACCTGAGAGTGTGGGTGTACCAGGGAATGTCAGTGGGTACCTGGGTGTGTCAAGGTGTCCCTGGGAGTCAGAGGTGGACCTGGGAGTGTCAGATGTGTACCTGGGTGGCCAGAGGTGTACCTGGAGTGTAAGAAGTGTACCTGGGATGTCGGAAGTTGTACCTGGGAGTGTCGGAGGTGTACCAGTGTCAAGGTGTACTTGGGTGTCACAGGTGTACAGGAGTGTCAGCAGTGTACCTGGGAGTGTCTGCGGTGTACCTGGGATTGTCAGAGAGGTGTGCCTGGGAGTGTCAGAGGTGTGTACCTGGGAGTGTCAGAGGTGTGCCTGGGAATGTCTGGGTGTTGTACCTGGGCGTGTCAGAGGTGTGCCTGGGAGTGTCAGGGGTGTGCCTGGGGAGTTCGGAGGTGCACTTGGGGTGTCAGAGGTGAACCTGGCATTTCAGAGGTGTACCTGGGAGTATCAGAGATGTACCTGGGAGTGTCAGGGTGTATCTGGGAGTGTCGGACGTGTACCTGGGGTGTCAGGGGGTGTACCAGGGAATGTCAGTGAGTACAGGAGTGTCAGAGGTGTACCTGGGAGTGTCAGAGGTGTACCTTGGGGTGTTAGAGGTGTACCTGGGAGTGTCAGAGGTGTACCTGGGGTGTCAGAGGTGTACTTTAGAGTGTTAGAGGTGTACCTGGGGTGTCAGGAGGTGTACCTGGGAGTGTCGGAGGTGTACCTGGGAGTGTGAGAAGTGTATCAGGTGTTGGAGGTGTACCTGGGAGTGTCAGAGGTGTACCTGGCAGTGTCAGCAGTGTACCTCCAGTGTCAGAGTGTACCAGAATGTCAGTGAGGTACCTGAGTATCAAAGGTGTACCTGGGAGTGTCAGAGGTGTACCTGGGAGTGTCAGAGGTGTACCTGGAGTGTCAGAGGTTTACCTGGGAGTGTCGGAGGTGTACCTGGGAGTGTGAGAAGTGTACCTGGGAGTGTCTGGGGTGTACCTGGGAGTGTCAGATGTGTACTTGGGAGGGTCAGGGGTGTACCAGGGAGTGTCAGAGGTGTACCTGGGAGTGTCAGAGGTGTACCTGGGAGTGTCAGAGGTATACCTGGGGTGTCG